TATTGTCTTGACAGGCAGGGTACATTCAACTGACACTCAACACACATCTAAGTAAACCTCTCAGACTCAACATTAAATTAAACAGATAAGAGTGAACAACTTGTCAGAATGCAGCCAAACAACTAACAACAGAGGTGCTACACGTGAGAAGAGCTGATGAGAAAGCAAGTGGTCACCCTAGAACAGGGCTGTTCAACTATATATCAGAAAAACAGAGACAGGAGCAGGAACAGCAGAAATCAACCAATTGTCAGTTGGTGTTCTCCTTCAACAAACTGTTTCAGCCCATTTACCTCAACAGACAATTTGGGGGAGGGGTGAGGAGCCTCGGACATCTCCTGATGCACTTATCGTACAAGATGCTATGGTAACTGCAACAAGCACTGAAGTTATCGTGATACTATCACTGCGGTCACAAATTATTCACCTACCTACATGACTAGAGTAACAGATGGATGGTTGGTTCATCAGACATTGTTTCACACAGACTTAAGCTGTTGGCAGTAGCATGGGCAGTGTTCATCGGACTACATTTGACTTGAGGGATCTAAAAGTTCTTTTCTACTAGGGGCTCAGACCAGTCTACCAAGGCTTATCCCCCTTATTGTTCTGTTATGTCTACAGCCAGCTTAAAGCTCTTTCAGCAGCTTCGCCCAGCTACTTCAGTGCTTGTTTATGCCCATTTCTATGCAAGCGAAGTTTCTTCAATAAACTGTAAGTGGAGCGGGAAATTAGCCCTCCTGCACCCACCTCGACTGAGAAGAGTGTTACTGCACACTCCTCAGACCTGCTACGAGATCACTTACTTTTCAAGCTTTGTACAGGTGTTGATTTTCAATTTCGACTCATATAGCACATTCAGCTTTGTCAGTATTAGTTGACACTCTGCCACTGAGTGCAACACCATGTATGGCCTTAGTTTAGGGCATTTTTGAAGCTAATTAGGTCAACCACCAGTTTCCAAGCCTGCGTACAGTCAAGTATGGACTTTGTTGAACGCACCTTCAGATATCGGCCAAGCTTTCCATCCTCTCTCCAAGCTTAGAAATTAGCAGGGTGTGCAAATTAGTAACGAAGCTTCACATCTGAGGAAAGGTATGGTAATTCTTTGAATGTTAACCTAGATGGGGATACTGTCTATGGATAGACTGAGCTGTACCAACATCCTTAAGACAAAGATCTTGAAACCTCATCAGCCTTGTGAAAAAGCTTAGAAATTACAAGGTGTGCAAGATAAGCAATAGAGCGTTACATCTATGGAAAGGTATGGTGATTCTTCAAATGTTAAACTAGCTGGGGATACTGTCTGTGGATAGATCGAGAGACTATATCAAAGTCCCCGATACTGTCTGTGGATAGATCGAGAGACTATATCAAAGTCCCCGATACTGTCTGTGGATAGATCGAGAGACTATATCAAAGTCCCCGATACTGTCTGTGGATAGATCGAGAGACTATATCAAAGTCCCCGATACTGTCTGTGGATAGATCGAGAGACTATATCAAAGTCCCCGATACTGTCTGTGGATAGATCGAGAGACTATATCAAAGTCCCCGATACTGTCTGTGGATAGACCAAGAGAGACTATCAAAGTCCTCAAGAAGATCATGGGACTGCAGCAGCCCTATTGATAATGTTTACATAATTTTTTTTTTTTTTTTAAATGTATTGAATGTCTGCCTCTTTTAGTGTTTGTGAAACTGTCGATAATACACATTCACAAATGTAGTGGTATAGCCTTGACAGGATGGTATAGGCCAAGTCCCACAATTTCAACTACATGCAAATGATACAAAATGGTGAGCTGTTCAAAAGCTAGTAAACAAAACTTAAGTACAATGGTATAATCTTCAAAATGTGAAAACAGTTAATTAAAAAAAAAGTAGCATGGTATAATCTAGAACACATGAAATACAAAAAGTAGAATAGTATAATCTAGAGCATTTAAAATACAAAAAGTAGAATGGTATAATCTAGAACATATAAAATACAAAAAGTAGAATAGTATAATCTAGAACATATAAAATACAAAAAGTAGAATGGTATAATCTAGAACATATAAAATACAAAAAGTACAATGGGATAATCTAGAACACATAAAATACAAAAAGTAGAATGGTATAATCTAGAACATATAAAATACAAAAAGTAGAATGGTAAAATCTAGAACATATAAAATACAAAAAGTAGATTAATATATTCTTTAACAGGGCTAGTCAACTGGCAGCCCACTGGCCAGACATGGCTCAAGAAGGCCTCACAAGAAGTGCTCGGATCACTGCCAGCTGAGATCACTACCAGCTGAGATCAATACCAGCTGAGATCACTACCAGCTGAGATCACTATCAGCTGAGATCACTACCAGCTGAGATCACTACCAGCTGAGATCACTACCAGCTGAGATCACTACCAGCTGAGATCACTACCAGCTGAGATCACTACCAGCTCAGATCACTACCAGCTGAGATCACTACCAGCTGAGATCACTGCCAGCCGTACTGCATTAATTAACAAACTTTCTACGCTGGGCCTCAGTTCTCTGGCTAGTGGCGCTCCCCATGTTTAAACTGATGGCCCCTGAGTAAACTTTATTAAACAGCCCTGATGTAGAACGTATGAAATATAAGAAAAATTTAGAATAATAGAATCTATAAAGGAAAACAGGAAAAAGTAGAAAGAAATAAAATCTAAAATTGTAACTTAAACTGGCTCTATGAAGGAAGGAAAGGGTCAGCCTGAATCTCAAAGTTTTTAATTAAAAAAAAAAAAAAACCTTCAAAAGAAAGCAAGCAGTTAAGGACCCTTTTAAAATGCCTGAGGTGTATAAGCCATATAAGCTATGAACAATATTTTTTGATCCATCAACCACCAAGAGCCGATCGGTCAATGAAAATTTTAGGCTAGGCTCATCTGACAGAAATCCCTTGGAAGTTGGAAATCAATCAGTGCCTAATGGCACTGTCTGGGCAAAATTTGGAGTTTAAAACCTACCCAAAGTATTTCAGGATCCACGCCGGTGCAACAAAGTTTGTGCACTGCGCTGAGATTCTTCAGACTCAGGCTTGAGTTGGAAGAAGAACGGAGCACTTATGGGTTACCACCCATGTGCCATGATGGTATCTACTGAATAAACATAAACACTTTCAGTTCCAAGAAACACATCAACTAAACATTCAAACATTGTGAAAATATGGGGGTGACTGCAGTCAAGCTAATAGACAGGAATTCCAGAGAAATTAGACTACAAACCTCAACAAAATGGGGAAGCAGAAAAACGTGCACAAAACAACACAACGTAAAGCGTTTTTCTGCTTCCCCATTTTGTTGAGGTTTTTAGTCTAATTTCTCTGGAATTCCACCTAAACATTCACAGGTTCTTACCTAGAAGCCCAACGAACACAAGATATGCTGATGGTACTACCCCGTGGGCCTCTGATGTTGAACCCCATTGGGATTGAAAGAGTTAATGCTACTGGCCTAGCTGAGATTGCAGTCTGGTCAATGTCTATTTCACAAGCAGTGATTGAAACTCTGAGGTTTTTGTTGGTACAGGAATGAAGCAAATATGGGGGGGGGGGGGGGGGGGGGGATGATCCGTTTGTTATAATTTTGGAACTGTGACTGCCTGATTACTTTAAAGACATATTTGTAAATTTCACTTAACACCTCATCATCATGTAGCAGGTCCTTTGCAGAACGTCGCTCTCATCATGGTCTGCCTGAAAAAAAACTCGGTCTCTGGCAGCTCTCCCACCTCATGAACTTTCATACTCAAGGAGTCACTTATATTCTGCACCCATCTTTGTGTTCGTCGGCCCCTGCCCCTCCTTCCTGGTACCATACCTACTATTATTTTTTTCCAATCTGTTGTGGCGCTTGATATGACCAAAATATTTCAGCTTCTGAGACAGGATGTTGTTTATTAGCCAATCTTCCCTGATGTTCAGATCTTTCAAGATGTCAGTATTTCTCCTCTTCTATGTCCAAGATATTCTGAGAATCTTTCTAAAGTATTTCCGCTCAAAAGCCCCTATTCTCTTTTTTAAGGACTGGGAGATAATCCTCACATCTGTTTGTTGCTACAGGGAGGATGCATGCTCTCAAATTTCTAATTCTGATCTCCTTGCTGATGCTTAACCATAGACTTTCAATGCTGTTTCATCTTTGCATTGCTATGGCCATCCTCCTTTTAATTTCTGTCAAACAGTCTCCATTGTTGTTTATTATGGAGCCTAGACATTCAAAGTTTGTGACATTTTCAATTTCTTGATCATTTATTCCTATTTTTGGGTGACAGCCAGTTTTATTTGTGGACATAATTTTTCTTTTCTTTAAATTCAAGAACAGATTACCCTACGGGTAGTATAGTTAATATCACCATACATCTCAATTATAACCCTGAAGGTGTGTACATGATATTCATCTTTATTTAAAAAAAAAAAAAAAAATTATATGAATTACTTTGAAAATATAAGCATCATCATCATGAAGGTCCTTTACAGAACGTCGCTCTCATCACAGCACATTTGAAAGCCTCTCTTTCTGTAACCAGTTCTCCAGACCCGAGTCCTTTTATAACCAATACATTTTCTTGAATGCCTTCTATCCACATTTGTGGAGATTGGTCTCTGCATAGTTTTACACAAACTGCATCCTCCATCAACATTTTCTTTACGACCTTTAACATGGCCAAAATACCTCCGATTTCACGACAGGATGCTGTTTAGGAGCCAATTTTCCTCGATGTTCAAATCTTGTAGGATGTTAGCATCTTTCTTCTTCTTGGTTTAAAAATATCATAACAGAAATACAGTCTGGTAACTTTCTATAGAATGATCGTTATTTAATGTAATGGCTTTCCTAAACCTCCATATCATCATATGGATAATTCTCTTATGGGTAACTTTTTGTAATCTTTGACATTACCTCACTAGCCAACATCTCAGACAAGACTCTTGAACACAATAGAGATTTTACTCAGAGATCAACTACAGCTCTCTCACAGCTCCTCTTTTCTGCCATTCTTTAGTTCATTTCTTTCCCTTGGTGTACAGTAATGAACACACAGTGTCACAGCCAGGTTTGAATCTCCTCTTTGAACATACTGCTCATAAATCTCCTCCTCCTCGTACAGCTCTATCAACTCACCACATAATGTCTTCAATCTGTTGGATGGAAACAATTTAACACATATTGTACATCATCTGAGCTGTCAGAAACTGTCATCAGACAACAAAGTCAAACATTTAGAATATGCCCATATGTTCTCTGTGAGAAGATGTTGAACAATTATGGACTCATACCTGTAGTTGCCAGTAAATAACGTACACCTCTGTTTTGCCCTCTACTAAATCCTGTCTGTAAGGGTGAAACATAGTCGCTGAAGTGTTTACTCTTGTATACTTTTTTCTTCCTGTGTGTTTATCAGCTGAAGCTCTTAAAGAAAGTTCTGGTAGTTCATCTGCTTCTGGACTTTGCTCTTGTTGAAGAACTTCAGTTTTGTGTACACATCCGTTTTATGGGTCTGGTTTATCTGTATGCAGACTGTTGGTTCCTGGCCTCTCATACAGATGCACTCCAACTTAGGAAGAAACAGCCCTAACTAGTCCCCTCCGACGACATGTTTGTAATGGGGACAGTGGGTCTACTCTTCTTCTCCCCACCTAAAACAACGAGGCTTCGTGGCGAATTGGTCAAGCACCGTCTGCCTCATGCTTTGAAGGTCGTGGCTTTTGTTCCACGGCTGCATTGTCAGTTTACAAGTTTAATGCAAATGACTTCCTGGATCCGAGGAATGTTGTGCTTTGTGCGACACTCGGCAGACAGCTAGCCGGTTGACAGAGAGAGAGAACATGTCATATGTCAAAGACCCTGTGCGTAAATTTGATCCTCACGACTTTACCCTTTTACTTTATTCCCACCCCCCCTCCCCCACCCAACCAACATGTGGCTTAGAGCCCATACAGGACTCACTCTTCTGCATGCAAAACACAATAATATATCTCCTTCAATAAACTTTGGTGTTTTCCCTAGAGGTTGCCCAGAGCAGGGCTTTCCAAACAAGTGTACTCAGGGCCCACTATGTTGAAATTAGGGATCATCACTGCCATAGGTCAGGGCCCCAGAAAAAAATTATTAATGTAATATAATTGGCAATGATCTGCGGGCCACCTGATACAGTTCTGAGGGCCACCTGATACAGTTCTGTGGGCCACCTGATACAGTTCTGTGGGCCACCTGATACAGTTATGTGGGCCTGATTTGACCTGTAGGCCACCAGTTGAACAGCCCTGCCCTAGAGGCTAGTTAATCTGTCCTCCTCATGTCCACATACATAGGCATAACCTGGACAGCAGAACCACCTCATCAGATCTGTTCATATAGATGGGATTAAGACGAAGTACAAAACAGTATGACCTAGGCTGATAAAAGAAGGTCAAATGGAAAAAGATCAGCTACAACAAACAAGGAAATTATATAAGCTAATGAGGACAGAAGTTCAAATGGTTTGGTCATATGGTTAGAATGCAGCCACAACAAATACCAACACAGGCGCCACACATCAAAAGGTCTGATGTGAAAGCAAGAGGTCTCCCTAGCACAGTGGTTCTCAACCTTTCTAATTCTGCCACCATTTAATAGAGTTCTTCATGTTGTGCCACCCTTTAATAGAGTTCTTCATGTTGTGCCACCCTTTAATAGAGTTCTTCATGTTGTGCCACCCTTTAATAAAGTTCTTCATGTTGTGCCACCCTTTAATAGAGTTCTTCATGTTGTACCACCCTTAAATAGAGTTCTTCATGTTGTGCGACCCTTTAATAGAGTTCTTCATGTTGTGCGACCCTTTAATAGAGTTCTTCATGTTGTGCCACCCTTTAATAGAGTTCTTCATGTTGTGCGACCCTTTAATAGAGTTCTTCATGTTGTGCCACTCTTTAATAGAGTTCTTCATGTTGTGCCACCCTTTAATAGAGTTCTTCATGTTGTGCCACCCTTTAATAAAGTTCTTCATGTTGTGCCACCCTTTAATAGAGTTCTTCCTGTTGTGCCACCCTTTAATAGAGTTCTTCATGTTGTGCCCCCTTTAATAGAGTTCTTCATGTTGTGCGACCCTTTAATAGAGTTCTTCATGTTGTGCGACCCTTTAATAGAGTTCTTCATGTTGTGCGACCCTTTAATAGAGTTCTTCCTGTTGTGCCACCCTTTAATAGAGTTCTTCATGTTGTGCCACCCTTTAATAGAGTTCTTCATGTTGTGCCACCCCCCAACCATACAATTATTTTTGTTGATACTTTATAACTTCAATAAATATTTGTTTTGCGATGGTCTTTGGCAACCCATGTGAAAGGGTCGATGGACCCAAAACAAAAGGGTCGCGACCCATAGTTTGCCCTAGAAGAAGATCGGCTGATGACATTAAAGACATTCTCCTCCAACAAGAAGAAATGACAAAAATCATAACTATCCATTAAGCGATGGGTGACAAACTGTTACTTGCCACGACACTTAATGGCAAAAGTAGAAATTGGTGATGATAATGAGGAATGAGAGAAGACTCCAAATGACGGAAAACAAAGCAAAGCCTACCTGACTTCCCACTTCCCCCCAGCTTCCATGATTCCCATGTCTTTGTCGTGCTCAAGACCTTCACCTGAGAGGAACTTCTCACCTTTGACACTCTTCAGACCATACCTGTGGCAAACACCAGACAGGGATCAAACAATAGTAAGTCACTGGACAAGAAGGGGGTAGCACATAAAATATTTGTCTGGAATACAATTCTACAGAGCAGTCATTATTTCACACTGCATTTGTGGGTTCCGAGACTCTATCCTGGAGAACAAAGAACCGACCCACTGCTCCCTAACAAGCATGTCACAGAAGGCAACTAATTAGGGGTGTTTCCTCCAAAGTCGGAGTGCATCTGCCTGAGAGGCAAAGAAGAAATCTGCAAACAAATAAGCCAGAACTGTTAAATGGATCTACATGCAAATATCAAGGTCTGGATCCAAACCAAAGTCCAGGAGTGGACGAACTAGAACTTTTCAGGAGTTTACAGCCAGTAAAATCTGAGAAGAAAAAGCAGATGTACTTCGAAAAAACTAAAACAATGTGTTGTTACTGGGAGCATGCTTTCTTGTTGTTGTTTTTTCTTTGTGTTTCTACTGTTGCTGCTTCTTCTTGTTCCTACTGTTGCTGCTTATTCTTGTTTCTACTGTTGCTGCTTCTTCCTGTTCCTACTGTTGCTGCTTCTTCTTGTTCCTACTGTTGCTGCTTCTTCTTGTTCCTACTGTTGCTGCTTCTTCTTGTTTCTACTGTTGCTGCTTCTTCTTGTTTCTACGGTTGCTGCTTCTTCTTGTTCCAACTGTTGCTGCTTCTTCTTGTTCCTACTGTTGCTGCTTCTTTTTGTTTCTTCTGTTGCTGCTTCTTCTTGTTTCTACTGTTGCTTCTTCTTCTTTTTCCTACCACATCATCTGCTTCTACTCTTCCTCCTTTAACATGTTGCTGCTTTTCTTATTCTTGTTGCTGATTTGTCATTTTTGCTGCATCTTTTTCTTCTTCTTTATTGTTTTTGTTTGTGCGTTTGTTTTGTCTGGGTTTCTTTTGTCTCAAACAAGAAATGTTGCTCTTAAATATACAGATAAAATCATGCTGCAATCCACATTCCTTCTCTACTAGAATCATGGCAAATCTTCCTCACCCTCTCCTCCACCCCCCCCCCCCCACCCCCCAGCAGCTTTCACTTAGGATATTGTCTCTTCCACCACGTACCCTCAGCTGCCACCTAGACCGCCCTCCTCTCTTTGATTTTTTTCACCGCAAGCGCATTCATTCAGGCAACTTTAAAGGTCGATGGTTTCCGTGCTGAAGTAGTCAAGCTATCTGCCTCGTGCACTGAAGGTCAAAGGTTTGTTTCACGGCTGCTTCCTTCAGTTCATGAGTGCAATTTTTACTTAGATCTTTAGGGATCGTTGCCCGAGCTAGGGAATCATGCTCTGTGTGGCGCTCCTGGCAGGTGCTAGCCGTTCTGCAGAGAAAGACCGAGTCATATGGGATAAAACCCAGTGCAAAGAAGTGGATCCTCTTGACTTTGTCTTTAACCTTAGCAGTCACAGCTTCTTGATCAGTAAAGACATTCACCTGCCCTTCAAAGTAAATAGGTTACACACCATAAACACTAAGACAGTATTTATCCCTCATTTTGGGAAAATATTTTGTCACTGAGGTGGAGTGGTTATTTTCTGTCCTCATCAATGTTCTTACCCACATAATTTCCAGTAAAGCCTAAAAATCGTAGAGTACACATTGTTTTTTAAGCTGGGTTAACCTGAAAGTTATCTCACCCAGAATAAAATCCCGTTATGAATAATTTCTCACAATTATGAAAACTAGAAAAACTGACCAGTGCTTTGCCAAACTTGTTTTCGGATTCCAAAATAACTTCTTAGAATTATGAAAACTAGCCAAGTTGGCTAGTGCTTCGCCAAACTGGCTTTCAGATTCCAAAATATGTTCTTAGAATTATGAAAACTAGTCCAGTTGGCTAGTGCTTTGCCAAACTGGCTTTCAGATTCACAAAGTTCAACTGTGTCCTCTTTGTGGCGACATAAGCGACCAATCCTGGCCCCTGGAGACAAAAGATCTAAAAGACAAAGTAAAGTTTAAAAAAAAAAAAAATCAATTTAAACTCACCCTTTTAACTTTTTCTCACAGACACTTTCAGCAACTTCTAGGACATCTGAATATGGCAGCCTTTTTCCTTTCTTGAACCTGCTCTCAGCAATAGAAAACTGCTTCTGAAACTGAAAACAAAATGTTACTGAGCATGTACACGTTAATCTGCTTACCATTTGACTTTTTCAAATAAATTTTCTAATTTTTAAAAATCTGTTCCACTTCTAAATTAGCTAAATTAGGACCTGAAGGATGGCAGACATGACAGAGTGATAGAAGCCAGAGTACAGGGGGCTGCGTTAACGCAGTCGATAGAAGGCTCACTTTCAAATCCAGCTGCGACTCGCTGCAGCCCACCACCGGTGTTCGAAACCGGGCAGTTCACCCAGCCTCTAGGATATGGGTACCAGAGTTAACACTCTGGGGTAAATGGAGGAATGTCTCTGTAACTACGGAGTTGCGTGCAGACGGCGACACAGGTGGACAGTTTCTTATCAGCTGTCTGTACTGGTGGCAGAGTACTTATGGTTTATAACCATGTGCAAAGACACTGGTTCACATCTCCTGACTTTACCTTTACAGAAGGCAAATGCTGTCACCTACCAGTTAGCCCCACTGCTGAGACACCCAAATGTCTCCCTCCCTGCAAAACAGCAAATGATTAATAGCATCTTTATCTCTACTTTAGGTCATCAGTACCAAACATGGACAATAGAATGGACCAAACTAGAATAGAAAATAACTACACGTCCATCTACCTGGTAGGCAATTGCAGCACATCCACTACACCTGTACTGACGAGGCAGTTGCCGAGATCCTTCCTCTTCTTCGGTCATTACCGGTGGAGTCATCTTCTCTTGACCAAGTTTCAGCTCTTCTGGGGAAACTTTGTAAACACTGTCTGTCTCCACACTCTCTTTTCTTTTCGAGCCATTTGTTAACGAGAAAAGCAGGAGAAATAAACAGGTCAGTACTGTCATTATCGCCTCCATCTGAAACAAAAGATTTAATTCTTTCAGTCACAGAAGAACATGGTTGATGCCTGACTGAAGCAATAATGATCACAACAAAAGCATGGGTATACTGCATCCAAAGGGTCTAAATACACAGCATATTGTGAGTGACTTAGGTTGCTGGATTTATTCAGTTTGCCTGACTCAACCTAGGATGTACAAAATAAATATACAAAACATGTTGACTGGTGCACATGTTATAATAGCCACTAGATATGTTGCACTTTTTAGCTGTGTACTGTTTCAATGTTCATTCATCAGACGTATTGGGAATATAGTGCTTGCATCGTTTTATTAAAAAAATTGACATTTAATATATTTAATGTGGTCATTCTCAAAACAGCTTTTTTTTTTTTTTTATCATAGAAAGGTTTCTCACAATTGCTTTACTAGGCTAGATTTAAATCTGATCCAGAATTTTCTATTCTTCTTTGTCTTTATCTTCTTTTTGTGTTTGTTTCTATCTCTTCTTCTATTTCTTACTTTCTCTTGTTTTCATTTATTTCTTCTCCTGTCTCGTGCTCGTGTTTTTATTTTTTTTTGTATTCTTCTTTCTTTTGTTGACTTCTTTATTTCATTCTTTTGTCTCTTCCTCGTTTTTCATTTAAACTTTTTCTTTTCTTCTTCGTTTTCAAAGTACAAAGATTATTACCGGCATGGTAACAGCGCCTCTCAAAGACCAACCCCACGTCCTCGTCGTGAGAGGTGGTAACAGGACAAAGTAGGGGATTGCTAGGTGTGGGCGAAGTATGGTGTGGCCTCGTGCCACGGGACCGCTACGGTAGCCATGAAGGCCACCCTGGGTCACCCCGAAAACGTCCTGGCCAACGGGGCTCTGGTGAAGTTGCGACAGGCCTAGCAAGCCGGCAATGGATTTTTTACCGCTACAAAAATCAAAATGAGATATAAACGGACTGATCAAACGGTATCTGACCATGGCAATGTTAAGGGACTACGAGACAGAACAGCGAAATACAAGATTGCAACACTTAACACCGCTGGCCTGGGAAATAAAACAGAAGAGATTATTGAAATGATGGAAAAAAGGAAAATCAAGTTAATGGGGCTAGCTGACATAAGACGCAAGGGAAATATTAATAAGAAAATACACAGAGGCTACTTACTAACATATGCAGGAGGAGAAACATCGAAGAATGGAGTGGGTTTCCTGGTACATCCAGACATATCTAACTACATATTAGACATACATTATCACTCAGATAGAATTATTACTTTGAAAATTAAAAGAGGAGAACAAGCTGAAACATATATACAGATATATGCACCATGCAATGATAATTATACAGAAGAGCAGAAAGATGAATTCTTTGACGATATGTCTGATGAGATAAAGAAAGTTGAGGGAAGCAGCATACTATATGTAATGGGTGACTTCAACGGGAGGGTAGGAAATAACAGAAGAGAATACAAACAATTTTTAGGTCCACATGCAGCTAAGAACAGTGCTAGAAATGGAAATGGTCAAAGAATATTGGATCTATGCAGCCAGCACAATCTTTTTATTACGAACACATTCTTTGACCATAGAGATTCACAACTTTACACTTGGTACAAATGGAATGATATCTCCATCAAGAGCCAGATTGACTTTATACTTACCAGAGTTCAAGGAAGAAGGAGAATTCTTGATTCAAGAGCAATCCCTAATGGTCTATGTGACACTGACCATAAAATAGTTGTGTTAACAGCAAAACATCTTACATTAAAGAAACACAGAAAGAAATTAAACAAAAACAAGGATCTCATCAAGATAGCAAATCTGAAACAGGAAGGAGTAAAAGAACAGTTACAACAGAAAGTAGAGACAGCATTCAAACAACTTCCACATGTAGTTGGCAATATTGAGGAAGAATGGAGTATATATAAAAACACTATGCTTAGTATTGCAGAAGAATTATGTGGAAAACGGAAGAGTGGAAACAGACGGGGAAATAACAAATATTCACCTTGGTGGTGCGAAGAAGTAAAAGAAGCAATTAAAAAGAAAAAAGTCTTATATAAACAGTGGATAAAATCAAAGAAAGAAGAAGATTATATAAACTATAGACTGCAAAGGAGAGAAACCAACAGGAGTGTCAAGAAAGCAAAACAAGCATCCTGGGAACGTTTCGGTGAGTCACTAGCAGAAAATGAGAAAACAGCCAGCATAAAATTTTTCAAAGTGGTTAAAAATATGCGGAAAAGAGATGAGAGCTACAACCCCACTGAAATAATTAATGATAAGACAGGAAGGCCATTGATAGATCCACCCGAGATTGCAGAAAGATGGAGGGAATACTTCAATGAGCTATTTAATCCTCTAGGAGATCATCAGGAAAGAACAACTGAAGAGCACAGACCAACAGTGTTAGAACCACACATACTAATGGATGAAATAGAAAAAGTCATTAAACAGTCTCCCAAATATAAAGCACCAGGAGCTGATAGATTACCAACAGAAATAATTCAAGCAGCAGGTGAAAGCAGCATCAGATGGCTTCACAGAATATTCAATGCAGCATGGGTACAACAAACGGCCCCTATTGATTGGCAACATGCAATAGTTATACCATTGTGGAAGAACAAAGGAAGCAAACGAGAATGCGGTCAATATCGAGGCATCTCTCTTTTAAGCCATGTTGGCAAAATGTATGCCAAGATAATAGAAACAAGATAGAACCACAGCTGGCAGAAGAACAGATGGGATTTAGGAGAAATAGAAGCTGCACAGATGCAATCTTCACACTTAAACAGTTAATAGAAAAGAACATTGAATACAATAAGAACTTATTTGTGGCATTCGTAGACCAGGAGAAGGCATCTGACAGAGTCGACAGACAATTATTATGGAAAGTAATGGCAAGATATGGAGTAAACGAACACCTCATCGAAGTGTGCAAAAGTTTATACAGGGATTGTAGAAGTGTAGTTAGAATAAATCAGTTAACATCTCATCCTTTCACAGTGACATCTGGAGTAAGACAGGGGTGTGTCTTATCACCACTGCTGTTTATCACCTACATCGACAGTATATGCAAGAATGGCAAGCCCATGAATGAAGATCTTAGTAAGATCAACGAATTACTCTTTGCAGATGACCAGGCCTTGATAGCAGATACAGCCATGAAATTGCAACAACATCTAACAACCATGAACGGAAAATGTAAAACAAATTATATGAGAATCAACACTGAAAAGACAGAAGTAATGTCAATAGGAAAAAAGAAGACAGATCTAAACATAACAATAGAATACAAAGGCATTAAACAGGCATCTGAGTTTAAATACCTGGGAACTACATTTACCGAAGATGGGAAATTGGATAAAGAAATGGACTTTAGATGCAGTAAAGCAAACCAAGTATTGGGACAGCTAGCCCCCCTCTTATTGCATAAGACAATCCCAATCAGCACAAAGAGACATCTTATTCAAAGCATATTTATTCCAACTCTGCGCTACCAGTGCCAGACATGGTCACTCACAACAAACCATAAAAGAAAATTAGTAACCACGGAAATGAGATGTCTGAGAAGGGCTGTAGGAGTGACCATAAGAGATAAGATCAGAAATGAGATCATAAGAGAACAAGTCGTCACAGAACCAATTCTGGATTACATAAAAAGACAGCAAGTGAAATGGTTTGCCCACTTAGAGAGAATGCCTTGTGACAACATACCATACAAAGCATACATGGAAAGAGAAGAAGGACGTAGAGCACGGGGTAGACCAAGAACAAGATGGAAGGATAACATCAGAGAAACTCTACAACAGCACGATGTGCCTATGGTTGAGGCAGCCAGAAGAGCTAGAAACAGAACCGTATATCTCCCTCGACACCCACAGCGGTAAAAGAGGAAGTGAAGAAGAAGAAGAAGATGGTAACAGCAATAGCCCAACTGTCAGAAACAGAAAATCATTAATTTAGCTGTCAAAATAATTGCATTAACTAGTAGAACATTAACAACAACAACAGTAGCAACAATAAGCAAACATCAACAACAACTTTTAGAAGTTGCTCTGGGCGCTTGAGTCTCTTGCAGGAAAGTTTAGCAAAACATGTTTCGCAGTTATCTCTCTTGCAGGATGTAGCTCTCTAATGTTTGCCCTGGTAACGCCAGGAGTTCTCACGTTTTTGCTCGTCTATCTCTGACTTACCTTGGACAGCCAAAAAGAACAACAAAGAGGTTTTGAAAGAGGCGAGAGCCCAAAGACAACTTATCTCAGACATCAGAAGGAGACAGTCATCATTTTTCGGCCATGTTATGAGAAGAGGGAAAATAGAACATGTTGTGACCACTGGAAAGATCTGTGGAAGGAGGGATAGAGGAAGACAACGAGAGAAGATGCTTGACAGTCTTGTTGCATGGCATGGAGGAGTGCCAGCACACGAAATGATACATGCTGCAGGAGATTGCAGAATACGGAGAGGCATGATCGCCCACACTAGTCGGATAGGCCCCTGATGATGATGATGATGATCATTGTCTTACAAACACTGTTTTTCATTCATCAACATCATCATCATTATGATCGTTATCTTTATTGTCACCATTATCGTCATAATGTTTTGTACAAATACGTCACATAGAGCGCATATCTAGGCCTCTCCCTATTCCGTCGCTGTTACAAGATGTTCAATCTGTTCAGTCACGGATGCATGTTGAATGCTGAATTAAGAATCGACATCATAGCACTTGGGACATTTCCATAAGTGCTCCATCCCCATCTTCAGCAGCAAGCGAAGAGTTCTAATTTCAATGGCACGAATAACTGTCTGATTGTACACCCGTCTCGCCTATCCCTTGAGAGTTGAGCGACGACAATTTCCTCTAGTAACTCCCCAAAGCGCTATTCTCTTTAAACCGTAACCATCTATTTGTGCCCTCACACTGAAATCACTAATGGAATCTATTCAAGCCCATTTGGATTTTTTTTATCAACTTTCCTATTTTTTTAGGGTTCTTCTTGAACGCACTTAT